TCTTAAAGGGATTTTTTTCTGAAATCAGTTGATGCATCAAATGAAGTCCATGACGCAACTTTTCTCTTTGAGATGATTGATAAAATTGGTGAGGAAATAAGAGAACATGTGGTGCAAGTGGTTACTAATAATCATTTTGCTTATATTGTTGCAAGCGATTTTTAAGGATGAAGAGGAAGAATTTATTTTGGACTTGTTGTGCTGCTCATTATTTAGACCTATTGTTGGAAGAGATTAGAGAATTGAGATCCACAAAAGGTTGTATCACCAAGGCAAGACAACTGCTTTTATTTGTAGGCATCATCTTCTCCCTTGTGTGCATGAGGGAAAATAACAAATGGGAGAGATTTTGTATGATGTGAGGTCACAAGGTTTGCCACCTCTGTTCTTACTTTACAAAGTTCTTTTTTACTTTTAAGGAACCCTTACATGTTTTATTTGTTGGTGATGTGTGGAATAAGAGTAAATGGGCTAACAAATTAGATGGACTAAGAGCATCAAACATGTTCTTTCTGTTGGATTTTGGAAAAATGTAAGAATTATTATTCTGGCTTCCCAACCAATTGTGAAGGTTTTATGCAATGAGTTTTTTATTATGCAATGCAACGAGAAAGGGAGAAAATAAAAGAAACTTTTGGTGGTAAAGAAATGAAGTTTAAAGTTAAAGTTGAATATAAAGCATCGTTGGGAAGTTTGAAATAGGCTTTCTAGATTGTATTGAGAGAATAGTGAGTGACATTGAAATTCAACACAAAACCTCTCATCAAATGGAAGAGTATACACATGCTTGTGGTGCTTTCTCTAACGAATTGGCAATTAAGCAATGAGTGTAAGACAATGGATTTATATAAGTACATTAACCCGACTAACCCGGCAAGAATACAGGTTAGACATGATCAGTTCAGGTCAATTATCAGCTTAAGAAAAATTATTTACAAACAACTCAAGAGCTAGAACTTTCTAGAATGATAGCATTTAAGAACATTCCAAAATAGCAACTAAAGACATTTGCATTAAGTATAAGGGCAAAATTGGCAAAGACAAGATATAAGATTCCAGAATATGGAGGTCCAAACACTATAAATAGGACCCCATACCCGTAGGGGGGCCCAGTTTTACTCTAATAATTCACCCATTAAACCCATTATGGGAGGGAAGCAACCCAAATTTCCTCCTACTCCTCTCTTTCTTCTCTCTCTGCAATCATTGTCATTCTCCTCTGAATCTTCAGAGCAGTGTTTTAAAACACAGAGGCGTGACGCGAGCACAGGGAGGCGTAAGCCTCAAGTATGTATTTTTTTTATAATTATAGTGGGTATATTAATAAAAAATAGATATTTTAAGCATAAAAACATATATAACACTAAAATAGGAAGAACAGAATCAACAGATTACATAACATGGCTGTGTGGCATAATTTATTCATGCAGCTCTGTTAAAGAAGGCTGAAACAAAACTACTAAAATCAAGAAAAAAAAGAAACAAAAGAAATGAATAACATAACTACTAAGTACTAACAGTTGAAGCTTATTGATCCAAAAAAAAAAACATTGCAGGCTTGCAGCTTTGTCACAGGTTCACAGCTGCCCAGGTTGGTCGGTTGGTCCAATAGCAACCTCTCTTCGATTGCAATTGAAAATAGAATAAAAAAAATAAGATCAAAACATCTGAGAAATTGCAGGTTGCTCGAAGAAGAAGAAAGAAGAAGAAGTTGCAGATTGCAAAGTGCGAAAGAAGAAGAAGAAGAAGAAGAAGAAGAAGAAAGGAAAAGAAAAAAAAAAACACATACCAGACCAGATTGCTCGAACTCGAAGTTGCAGGTTGAAAGTTGAAGCTGAGTAGAGACTTGTTCTTCGCACAGGTTTCACAGAGACAGAGTTCAAACTTCAGACTCAGTTCTCTCTTTCGAGAACTAAAGTTTGGGTTCGAAAGAAGGATATTTCCCCCTCTTTTACACTTAAAAAATAATTGTATACAATGGGGGCCATGATATAATCGTGGCCCCACCAATTAGAACATAAAAAACTTAAAACAAGTAATATGTTGAATGTATAAAAATGACACACGTGGGAGGCGTAAGCCTCTTTCCAAAGGCGTGCCAGAGGCGTACGCCTCCCTGGAAGCGTGTGCCTCTGTCCACACCTTTGTACATGAGGCATATGCCTCAATGGTCTGGACGCTTCTGTCATGCGCCTCCAGGCGTTTTGGGGGTGCCTTGCCTGGAGGTGTGCCTCCAGGCGTACGCCTCCCATGCCTTTTAAAACAATGCTTCAGAGTTAAACCACCACCATTGCCTTACCATATTCAATGGGTTTACAACAAGAAATGAAACAACCAAGTAATATAAGCTCTCTTCTCTTGAATCTTATATTTATTTATAAATAGTTTTTATTCTTTTTATTGTAAATTTATATTGTCTTATTTCATTTTTTTCTCTATTGTGGCATAGTTATGGTCATTGCACCCCAAAGCTTAGATGTATTGCATTATGCATATTAGGTCTTACATGCACATCTTCCGCTTGTGAGCCTAATTGGAGCATTTTTTAACAAGTAATTATACTAATACTATTATTTGTTAATTGATAGTTTTATAATAAAATTATGAAAGTTAAAATACTTTATTTTTATAATTTTCCTATTTTATTTGTTGTGAATGTAGATTTATACAAAAGAGGAAGAATAGGTGTGTCTAAAAGAGGTTCAAAGATCATGTATTTGTTCAATACAATCAACATCTTCAAGAAAGGTTCATGACAAAGGCAATTTGACCCCATTTGCTTTAATGATGTGGATGAAACTAGTGAATGGTTGATTAGAAAAGGCAAATCAAACAACTTAATTTATGAAAAGTGTGATCTTACATGGAGTCAAGTTGATGAAGCATCAAGCAAGGTTTAAAGTATCGATACAATACACACAATATCAGCAAGCCACCAATACTCAAAATATATAGGGTTTGGGATTTGGGGCATTTTCAAGGGGTAGGCAGGCCTAAAACCGACCCTCTAACCAATTTTAGGTAAAATGAAAAAATAAACTAAAACAATTAGTTTTATGGTATCGAAACACCCGATACATGTTCGTGTGTATTGGGTGTAAAACTATGGCATCAAGGGTATCCTAGGTGTCAAATAAACCAAGAAAAAAGTGGATATGGATGTGGAAATGTAGGGAAAGGTGCGAGTAGAGGTAGAGATGATCGTGGGAGAGTTGATGCTAGTAGACATGATAAAGGCAAAATTGTTGTTCAAGAAGAAGATTTAATGTGGGACAACAATATGGAAGATAATGAAGATGAAGAAGTGGAAGTTGATGTCAGTGATGATGATGACGATGGTAGTGATGATTGTGAGGATGATGATGTTGATTGTGGTATTAATGATGATAGTGCATTCAGTGGAGGGATTGCAAGTTCTTATTTCTTAGACACTCAAATCAATTAGAGAATAGAGATTTTTCTTTATGGATTTTATATGATAATGATATATTTAAATTTCATATTTTATCTTTTTGTGGAGATAATTTATATTTATTATATGTTTTAATTTAGATTTTTAATAATTAGATTACTAAATAGATGAGTTGGTATTGCCATTTTTATAACTTTGTATTTTTTGTTATGGTTTCATCTTATTGGTTTCTATATTAAATGCCTAGGTATCAAACTATCAACCAAGGCATGTGGTTGAATCCTTGAAGAATTAAGCAATAATAATTATGGATCTAGTGCTTATTCTATTTGTTTAATTTATTATCGATTCTTTTATTTTAATTTTTGTTAAAGACAAAATTATAAGGAACAGGATACTCAAGGTCAGTGCTCAACAATCATCCAAAAGGTATGAATTTATGAAATTAAATTACTTAACTTTTAGTATTCATTAGTTTTTTTAGTGTAGTTGCCATGTAGTTGGCCTTTGCTAGTATTAGTGACTGATTTCTTAATTACTTGGTTCTTCTATTGAAATCTTAGTTTAAATGTTCAAATTAATAATATCTAAATTATAAATATAATGACATTTTATGTTTTCATATAAATTTATACTCATTTGAACTTAAAAGTGTGGGAAATTAGTTTGGTTCACAAAACATTGAAACCATCCAATTAAATCACCTAAAAATATAGAAAGGCAATATAGAAGTGAATAGCTGTGATAAACATTGCAGAGTTAAGGGATTGATTTATGTATATCCAAGTAAATTGACTCTAACATAGACATAAAAATGGTTTCACTAGGAAGAAAACAGCATCTTGTGATTATTGCCTAGTTAACAGAAGTCGAACAAATTAAAAATTTTATTATTGACTTGAAGTTTGACTCATGCTGTTGTGGTGAGCAGTGTTTTTCACATGTCTTTTTTTATTGGAAACGGTAACTTTTTCATATAAGTCTTCTAGCCAATCATCACAACTACATGAACTTTTTATTGCCCTCTCCATTGGACATCATCGGTAAGTTGTAAAACCAATACGGACAAGGTAAGATATGATTCTTTCTGGCTCTAATGGCTCCTTTATGCGATGCTCAGGTTATATCAGGACTAAAAATTCTGTCTTCAAAACCTCACTCAGTACCTTGTCAGTCAAGATTGTTACATCTCCCAACTACAAAGTTTATGGAACATCAGATTTTAAGACTAACAAGTTCAAATTCAGTAAGGAGAATTGTTTTTCTATTTGTTACATTTTCTGATCAAAAACTTTATTAAACAATCAACAGAGAGAGAGAGAGAGAGAGAAAAGATACAAAATCAAAAGGGAGGAAAAAGGATATAATACACCCCAAAAATGTTTCATATCCATGCTTGTAACGAAAGGCCCCTAAAACAGCAAGCCAAACAGCACTAGGGGGAGTTACCTAGAAACTGTAATGGTAGCTTAAACACTATTTGCAAAAGATTTACATATACTCAACCATGGTAAACACATATTTTTCAATCAAACATTAGCTAACTACAACATTGCAAACCATAAAGGGCAAGAGAATAAATGCTCACTGGTAAAGCTTGAAGGACAAAAAGCAAATGTCCAAGGAAAATTGCATCCAAACTTGTTGGCCTAAATTAAAAGAAAGAGGCAGATAAGTTAATAATAATATGCTGGTTCGTTCCTAGTAATTGCACCTAAATGTCATAGAAAGAGACACAGGTCTACCTGTTTTCAAAGAAAAAGGTCTGCTCCCCCAATTTCGTTGACAGTGCTTCATAAGCAATGGTCGCCTTCCTATAGATCTGTCCATGGATGATATTTCACTATGTTCATTAGTCATTACTAAAGAGATCCTTGAGCCTAGAACCTCTTGTATGAGCTTTTTAGCAGTAGAATATCAACAGACCTAAATTATCTACAAAATAAGCCAAAAGAAAATGAAAGAAAAGCTGGACGCATGGGTGACAAAGAAAAATGAAGAAATAAGCAGTTGAAAGGACATTCATTACCTCTGCTTCCCTTCGCTCAGCATTGACTTTTGTTATCCCAAGTAGCTGCTTCACAGCATAAGTTTGCTTAAAGTAGAGAAGTTTTCCAATTGGCCACGGGAGGTCAGAATAATATATCTTATGTGCCACACTTCCATCAGATCCCAACCAGAGTTCGTACATTGCAGCATCTGCAAGCCACGAGCTTATTATGGCCATCCATTCTGCAATAGTATGACTTGGGATACAGTAATCCAGATCAACTATTCCATCTTCCTTTAGACTTTCAATAACTCCACTTTTCTCATTGTTGTAGGCCACATACTCACCACTCTCCACATAAGGTATTTGATCTAAAAAGAGTCAAAGCCAACATCACATGATAATGACAGAGATAAGAAGCAAAATCTGTCATTGGTGCCAGAGGTGCATTTGAACTTGAGAAAACAACCATCTGACATTTAGAAAGATAAAACATAAATGATGACACCATAAAGTATTCAAAAACCTAAGTGTTTCTGCTTTCTTGGGGACCCCAAAAGAGAACATTGAGCAAGTGAAGCCAATATCCTTTCTTTATTTCTGAAATATGTCTTTATAATTCAAATGAAAATGCACGAATATATCTTTTATGAAAGAAAAAAATGGCCATTACCCAAAATTGGTCCCAGATATATGGGGTCTTGGGAGGGGTGGACTGGATATGGACCTAACCTTTGGTATTTTTGCACTAAGTGGCCACTTTCAAACTCAAACACACACTCTCATGCTTGTGAGCCCAGCACCAAGCAATGGCCCCTCAATGTATGACCATGTCACTCAACTAATCAAAGATCAAAGATAGGTGAATAACTGAAAATATTGTTCAAACATTGAGAATTACTAATATAGATACGTTACATCAACCAATGATATGAGTTATGAACAGTGTTTTCATAAGTGTGACTAGTCAACCAACTAGTCACTTGAAGGCCATATTGAATAGTTGGTCTATCACCATCCGGTTCTTTCACCTATAGATCCTTTTTCACTTAATCAGATAAGCGATGAGAAAAATGACCTATAGGTGAAAGAACCGGATGGTGACGGGTTTCAAATTCTCCTATCCCTTTGACCCACATCTAAACATACCCTCTCCAAGCTTTGTAATAGACTTATGACACTATTCTTCATGATCATGAAGCCCTCTTTTGAGACCCAAATCCCAATTATGCTCAGAAGTTGCACTAGATAGATCCAGCCATCTAGGAAACAAGAGATAGGTTCCTCCCTATGGGTAGAAAGGGCATAAAGAGAGGGGAATCGTATCTTTAGTGGAAGGTTGCCTACCCAAACATGACCCCAAAATTTAACAAAATTCCCAGAACCAAGATTATACCTGATAAGTGGTAAAAAACAGAGGTAGAATATCACAAATAGATTTCTAAGGAGAAGCGCTTTTATCCCTAGCCAAAATTCTAGAGTCCCAACAATCTGTCGCAAATCCATAGATATTAACTCACCTTTGCCGACAACTTACCTCTTTCCAATGGTAATCTCCACAACCATTTCCCAACAAAGCCATGTTCCTCTCTTGGATATTCCCAAGGCTTATCCATGTTTCTTGCTTCTACTCACCACCTCCTAGCTTACCCTTTAATCATTCTCCCTTGGCTCCCACAAGAAATCCCTCATCAACTTCTCTAAGCTTATGCTTACCTCGACCGAATCTTAAATACTGACAAGTAGTAGACAGGTAGGTTGGCCAGAGTAGATTTAATCTAAGTGATTCTTCCTCCTAAAGACAAATAATTGTTCTTCCATGAGGCCAACCTCTTTGTGAACCATTCTACCACAGGGTCCCAGAAACTACTCCTCAAGTTATCACTTAAAGGTAAACCCAAATAAGACAAAGGCCATCAGGACACAAAACAGCCCAAAATACCTACATTCTCCATGATTTCCCTTTCCTCCAAATTCACCCCCACCAGGAAACTCTTATCCATCTTGATTTTCAGATTGGACATTCTTTCAAAAACTTGCACCACCATCCATAGGTTCATCACTTGGCTAATCACACCTTTTTCACAAAATAGAATCGTGTCATCAACAAATTGTAGGTGAGTAACCGGCACCTATTCTCTTCCAACCCTCCATCCCCTTATTAGACTTCTACAACCCACCCTTTCAATGAGTCTCCTGAAAGCATCAGCAATTAATGTGAATAGAAAGGGAGAAAGTGGGTCCCCTTGCCTAATCCCTCTTAAGGCTGGGAAATGATTTACCACTGTCCCATTGACCACAACTAAATAATGGCATGTCTTAATACATCCCAAAATCCATCTACACCATTTGTCGCCAAATCCAAAAGCATTCATGACATCCTTTAGAAATCCCCAGTCCACTAAATCATAGGCCTTTTTCCAAATCTAGCTTACAAATAACCCTTTCTTCCCATTTCTCTTCATATCCTCCAAACTTTCATTCGCAATTAGAATTTGATCAATTATTTACCTATCCTTAACAAAATCCCCTAGATACTGTGAAATTATGGATGGGAGAACAGCCCTGATTCTTAGAGAAAGTACCTTAGCAATTAATATATAAAGGCTATTAACAAAACTGATTGGTCTGAAATCTTTTGGATGCAAAGTGTCATCTTTTTTAGGGATCAAAGGTATGAAAGTTGAGTTCAAATCCAGATTAAGAACATCTCTTTCAAAAAAAATCCTCAAATACCTTTAACATGTTACCTTTTAATATCTCCCAACAATCTTGGTAGAATGCCATAGTAAAACCATTAGGGGCAAGTGCTTTAGCCCTATCAATAGGAAATATTGCATCCATTATCTCTTCATTTCAAACCTTCTCTTCATCCATCTCTAGGACTCCTTGGAAAGCTTAGACCACTTCAATCCATCAATCCAAATTCGGTCATTCAAGGGCTTCCTAAAGATTGATTTGAAATGATCCATTAAAAAGGTAACTCATGTGATAAGTTACATTTTGATAAGTAATTTACCAATCCATCAAAAAGGTAACTCATGTGATAACTGATAAGTTACCTTTTTGATAAGTAATTTACCATTAACCTACTAACAAGTAACAAGCCAAATGCCACCTGAAATTGCAAAATATGTATTGTCACATCCAACTCATCTCAAAATGTTTTGGCTCTAAAGCATTTCTCCATCATTCTAGCTTTGTATTCAGCCCATCTTTAGTTCTATGGATCAATAATACATATTCAGAAAACAACATGCACCATAGGACCCCCTCCTATAAATGTCTAGTTAGTTCATCCATAACTAATGCAAAAAGATATGCACTACTGTCAGCCCTTGATGATTAAAATTTTGTTTCATATCCTCTTCCTAAGTTCTCAGACTGGTTATTGTCCCTAAATACATATCCCTAATGACATTTTATTTGATAAGCATCCCTAATGATAATCAATATATCTACTTGAAGCCCGTGTTTCTTCAAAACCAACCAGATAAGTTCTCTGTGTATTATATCATATATTTTCTTATAAATATTCCATTACCACTTAAACCAATCACCACTTGCAAAAACTCCCTCTTACATACTTTTTCCCCAAACAAAGGTAGTGTTATTTTAATTGGTAGAAATTAATAGACCATTTTTCTTTTTGACATAGCACAACTATTTGACCATGATAGCACCCTGGCCTTGGCTTTCAAGAATATATATGAAAATTTATCTTTGTTCTAATCATATGCCAATGCCTAAGTCTGCAATATCCATCTCAACCCAAAAAAAAAAAATATTGCATCTTTTCCTGTCCTTGGAATGTTAATTAAAACAATAACATAGTGTAAAGTTGTTATTAAGTGCAACATCCCCTCCCAAAAAATCTATCACCCCCACCCTAATCTCATTGAATTGCAACTTCGATATTGGACCCATGTGGCACTGCTCAAGTGCTCATGTTATCAGAAATGGTGTAGATAGTACATGATTTTAACTATTTAAGTTCTCTTTTGTTTCTCCGCTTGACTAATTCTTGAATTTTGACAGCTCTTCCTCAGTTTTTACCCCTAAGGTTGTTCTCTCAATACATTCCCTTACCTTTCTTCTCATTCCATAAATCTTTACCTAAACAACAAGAGAGCATAAGACCAACCATGGTAAAACACTAGTGTCGCTGTCACTTAAGATGCCTCTAGGCCCAAAAGCTAGAATAGTTGTCACTTCTTTGGGTGTTTCTAGATCTTCTGGTTTGATTATAGAAATATATCTTTTCAACAATGAAGATACACACTTTCACAGTATCACTACCTTTTGAACAAACTAAAAGAATTATGGCACTGATATTGTCAGTAAATTACCCACAACAGCGAAGTATGCAGAAAATAAACGCCATTAAACTTAGTATCAAGGAATAGAGTACCAATAAATGACCCACATCCTCAGAACAATTAACTATGAAAAGGAAATCCACAAACCCTTGAAGCCAGAGGGCGAAACATGCAAGTGGTCCAGAGAAGGGATCTAAATCAAACAAGCACTAGCTTACTTACTCAACTTAACAGTAAACACCAAAAACTAATTACAGTTACCAGAAGAAACATCATTTAAAACCCTCAATGAAATAAATAAGAATACCATCCGAAATGGAAAGCACCCAAAAATGGAGCAAATGCCACAATCCAACAATCAAACGAACCAATATTACAATAAACACGTCCACTAACAATTGTAACCGATATTACAGTCTCTGATATAACAGAAATACCAATGCCAATCACCAGCTATAGAGCATTCAAAACAATACAAGCATAAACAAGTGAAATTTCATAGCTGAGATCGCAACAGAAGAAAACCGCTTAAAGGTGTTATCCTCCATCAATTAGAAAGAAAGTATGACAGAAACTGTACCTGAAGCAGGACAAACCGAAAAGATAGAAAAACAAAACAATTACCTGAATCAGGATGAATCAAATTGAAGCGCAAATCAAACGGCACGTTAGCTAATTTGAGGTATATGTAAACAGGCAAGCATGAGGGGCAAGCCGTTGGGAGACCAAAACAGGCTTTCCTTGCAACAAGAACAAGCTCTTTATCCTTCTCTACATCCATGTAGCGCTCTCCCCTTCTTCGCTTCTCTCAACGTCTGGATTTCTTTATCGAAAAAGACGACGGCGAAGTGATAAAATACCTAGAGCTTGAAGAGAGGCAGAAGTCTATATGGGAAAGAGTGGGAAATGAAGTAAGACGAAGAAAATCTATTTGGGGGATTTACAGAGGAAAATGAAATGGAGAATAAATGAGAAATGGTTTTTGCTGTTCGGAAGAAACCAGGAACAGCAGAAGGGTTCTATGTGGGTTTTGTCATCTTCAGCAGTCGCGCATGAGTCATTTCAGAGTCACCGCAAACAAGGAATTCGGATTTCGTCTTCACACCGTCCTCACAGTACTTCCAGCCGTGCATTGAGAACATCTCCGTCTCAATGCACGGTTGAAAGGGCTCTTAGGAGGTTGTGATGCGAAGACGGATTTCGGTCCCACACACTTGAACCCGTGCATCGAGAACATCTTCCATTATTAAAAAAACATAGGAGATATTCACAGTGCACGGCCGGGATTATTGTGAAGACAAGTAAAGCTAGAACTTGGCTCGCAAAGTGCTTCAGATTCACATTGAACCACCTATAAAAGAGGACGAGCAGGGTCCTAAGGAACTTAATGATCTCAAATGAAGATTCTACTATGGAATGTTAGAGGTGGTGGCAGAATCCATCTTAGAAGGCCAGTGTGTGTTGCTTAATGGAAACTAGAGTTAATCCAAATAGAGCAAAAAAAAGTGTTGCTTCCTTTAAGTTTGATAAATGCCATACTATTGATTTAATCTATTGGTTTTGCTGGAGGTCTTTGGTTATTATCGGACTCTTCCTCTTATTACTGTAACCTAATTGAAATGGAAATGGAGGGTTCTCAATATACATGGAAAAATAACAATACTAAAGAAAGGATTAATTGGGTTCTTTCAAATTCTGATTGGAGGTGTGAGTTTGATAATTGTAAAGTTTTAAATATGCCTTTTTTGTCATCAAACCACACCCCCTTGATTTTGGATACTAATTCTCTTTCCTCCAATGGCCCTAAACCTTTTAGATTTGAAGCCATGTGGTGCCTAGATCCTACTGTGAATGATGTGATTAAGAGAGCTTGGGATATTAATGTTAATGGCTCTAGGGCCTTTCAATTTTATAAAAATAAATAAATAAATAATTTAGTTAGAGAGCTTAAATATTGGAACAAGCACCATTTGGGGAATATTAGGAAAAGAAAGAAGAAATCCTTTCAAATCTTAAAATAGTTCAAGAGAATTTAGAGGAGGATCCAAATAATAGAAGTCTCGTTAATCATGAGAAAGCCCTCCATAAGCTCCTCAATAGTGTTCTTGCATGTGAGGAGATTTATTGGGCTCAAAATTCGATGGTCGAGTGGCTAAATCATGGGGACAAGAATAACAAATTATTTCATACTACTGCAATAATTCGCAGAAATAAAAGCAAAATCATAAGGATTAAGGAGGAGAATGGTAATTTGGTTAAGGAAATTGATGCTATTAAAGAATTATTCTGCAGAAATTTCGATAAGAGGTTCAAGTCTGAGGGTTCCATGGATGTAAACAATTTCATTGCAAATATTGAGTATTGTGCATCCGAAGATATGAACAGTAACCGTTGTAGGGAAGTTACTAATAAGGAGATTCACAATACCCTTTTATCTATGAAGGATATGAAAGCGCCTGGCCTTGATGGTCTTAATGTATTATTCTTTAAGAAGTCTTGGAATATTGTTGGGGATTCTATCTATAGTACTGTCAAAGCTTTTTTTTTTCCATTTGGGGAAAATGAATAGTAGCTTGAATAAAACTTTCATTACTCTCATCCCTAAATGTGATAATCCGGATAGAACTAATGATTTCAGGCTCATTAGTCTTTGTAATGTGATTTACAAAATCATTTCCAATATCTTGTTAATCGAATTAAACCGTTCTTTGATGATATTATTTCCCCATTCTATAATGCTTTCATCCCCAATAGGCAAATTATAGATAATATTCTTATTGCGCATGAAATGTTATACATTATGAGGAATTTGAAAGGCAAACATGGGATGCTACCTTGCAAAATTGACATGGAAAAGGCATATGATAGGTTGAAATGGGGTTTTATTAGAAAGGTTCTTAACAAATATGGGTTCCATACTAAGTGGATAAATTGGGTGTTGGAATGTATTAGTATGGTTTCATTCCAAATCCTTATAAATGGTTCTCCCTCTAGGTCCTTTAGTGCCAGTAAGGGCATTAGGCAGGGGGATCCCCTTTCTCCGTACATATTTGTGTTATGTGCTGAAGCCTTAACTAGCAAACTTAGCATGGGGGCTCATTGTGGTGAAAAGTCAATAGGGTGTAGAGCTTCTAGGGGGGTTCATCCATTCCCATCCTGTAATTGGTGGATGATTGTATTATCTTTGTTAAAGCGTCAATTTGGAATCTCTCGATTCCTTCGAAAATTAAAATTTTCCTTTTCCTTCTCTTAAATGACAAACTTCCCACTAAAAATAAACTTATTGTGAGGGGTTGTAGAATAGACCTAACATGTGTTCATTGTGGGGAAGAGGAGAATATTGATCACCTATTTGTTAAGTGTGAATCAGCGAAACAAATTTCGAATAGGTTGGTTAAAGTGTTACTAGTGCCGAGATCCCATGATGTTACTTTAAAGCAGTGGTGGTCTAGTTTAGGTAACCAGAATTGTTTTTTCAAGGATAAATTCATAAAAGAGAAAATAACTTGTTTTTATTGGTTCATTTGGAAGAACAAAAATGAAAAATGTTTTGGTGGTAAGTCCACTAATTCCCAAATAATCATTAATAGAGCATTAAGTTACTAGAACAAAATTAAAGAAACTATTTCGCACATCGAGCCAGTCTTGGAAGCAAGTTTAGTGGCTCAAACCTAAAGCTACTACATTAAAATAAACTTTGATGCTACATGTTCTAATAATGGAAGTTGTGCCATTGGATGCATTGCTAGGAATCGTCGGGGCAAAGTTCTTGAAACCAAGGCCCTTAGGATTGGATCAACGACGATTAACCTTGATGAAGCATGGGCAGCTTGGGTAAGTGTCTTGGAAGAGAGTTGAGTGACTCAAACCTAAACCCGACTACATTAAAATAAACTTTGATGCTACATGTTCTAATAATGGAAGTTGTGCCATTGGATGCATTGCTAGGAATCGTCAGGGCAAAGTTCTTGAAACCAAGGCCCTTAGGATTGGATCAACGACGATTAAGAATGTATAAAGGAAGCAAATCAAGCGGCAATAATTAGTTTCATTTGTGATGCTGATTTGAGGGGAAGTCTAAGTGAGTCTATTACAAATGAACCTGGCCCAATCCAGTCCAATGAATATTTTGGACCATTTTGGACTGGTGTAGAGACTGCCTAATCTGTTCAAATTCCTGCTAATTTAGATTGGTTTCAACTCAAACCTGGTCCATTGACACCTATGTTCTTTTTATCTTCTATCAATGGACCAATTATTGGCTCAATCCAACATAAATTCATTATAGACAGACCAGGTCCAATCCAATGTCATATTAATCCATCTAGTCTGTCCAAATTCAATGTCTTATTGACCCATCCAATCCGTCCAAATGGATTTTGATTTGGACGGAACCCAACCCAAAACCGGTCCATTGACACCCCCAGTTGAATCAGCCCTGTATGACATTTACTATACTAAATGTTTTTGTTTTGAAGCGGCCATGATAACAAGCAGGTTATACTAATTACTAACTACTAATAGTCCCTTTTTTTAATACAAATTCAAATTGAAGATACCGTTTTGCATCAAAAGTTCAAGGTATCAATACGTATCGGCCTGTTAAACAAACCCCTCTGAACCAGTTTTCGAAAAAAAAAAAATATATATATATATATATATATAACTTAAAAAATAATACTGATACAGGACGATACGCCCGGCTAAATAAGTACCGATACCAATCCCTCTGTGTCGATACTTTTGCTTCTCCTGTAAAACATGCCGCTGGACTAAAAAACGTCCCCCTAAAAAATATCCAAAAGGTATAATATTCATCAGGATAAATTCATACCTCAAAACTGCAATACCAATATATTATCCAAATTCTCGAGTAAATTCATGCGGATATCTAGACACTAAAATCAGGTAAAACAACTTGCTAACAATTTAGGGCATTGTATTGAAAGACAGACTAATCGAAGAGCGAGAATCCCATGTCGTCATCACTCTCTTCCTTCTCTTCCTTCTCCTCGGCTGGAGGTGCTTCAGCAGCTGCAGCACCGCCTCCAGAACTTGCTGCTGGAGCAGCTCCACCTCCAAAGAAAGCACCACCACCTCCACCACCAATAATCACCTATGCCAAATAAAAACGCAAATTACCTCCTTGAGAAGAAGGAAGTTGGATTGGAAACAAAAAGAAAACAACATCAATAAGAACTAAACAGAGCTTGCTTGTAGAAACCAATTACATAACATTCAGTTAGCCATTTATGTGAAGTAGTGCTATTTCCAAGCTATCGTTAACCTGAGCCAGCAGCAAATGCGAAAAGTGATAGCCAAACACGGTTCAGATTCAATGGACTTCCACCATTAGCAGAGATGCGTACTACTTACTATTTCTGAGAGATGTATTTCTAACCATACAAACAAAGACATTTTGGGTAAAGTCTCCAAAATAGTGCAAAGAGATTCTTGACATCATTCTTTTATGTCAGTTTTCTACAACTAAAATATTTTGGAAGTGGTACCCAACTAATGCACCAATGTTGTACATGCACAAATCACTACATGTTTGATCAAGATGTAACCTACTGTGATTATTGATTTCAACTGAACAAAATAAAAACACGGGGTTTCGCATATCAGCAAATGCTTTGACAGACTCTCTGGCTAAAGAAAGGGTTTCTCGGGTTTCTCTGTATTGGGCTAATCTATAGTTCTGTCTATTGACAAGAGATGGGTCTGTACTCATCCCAATGGGGAGGTTGCATATGGTGTCCCCTCCAAGGCGAACTCTACTCTCCTTTTTCTCTATAATAAAACTACTTTTTCATTCATAAAAACAAAAAGATAGAAATAAAAACAACTTGTCGACCTAATTTTTAAGATGAAGGCAAAATCAGGAGGCGAAACGAAAACCTAATTTATAAGGTAATTTAATGGTATATTGCTTCGGTAAATAACAAGGCAAAAACTATTAACATTTATACTAATTCACATAAAAATAAACCCCTGTTATCAGCTGCAAATAACCAGAAAAAGAAAAACTAACACTCCAACAAGTTGAGTAGATCGTATGTCTTAGGGCATTCTTTGATAAGTCATCATGTAAAGAATAGAGCTAGATGATGATTGACGCATCTGACTCGTGCCAACTTGGGTGGAGCTGAGAAAAGCTCCAAAGTTCCCTTCTCCATCCTTTGTCCATGATTAATGGGCCAAACATCAGTCCAAATGTCTCCACCATGATTATGGCTACGACTTTGTGTAGAAACTTTTCAGATTTAGAAAGTGATAGAAGTTTGTGCCAAACGTCACTTGGGAAAAACTCAAATAAATGATGACCAGTAAATACTGGTGAAGATGGTAAAGAAATACGGATGGATGGATGAATGTCTTAGCCTCTAAGGTATTGCTCTTATCCTTGGCCAAACAAATAGAATTACTCTTTACTGTAATCCAACCATTTTCTACAAGAACTCTTTACTGTTTTTAGCTTCAACAAAAGTTTGACTAGCAAATTAATATAACATAGTGGAACTACTCGATACTTGATGTAATTTGAAGAGTATTGAAGAAAATCCTTATTCTTTACAGATAGATAAACGGTGTTCTGTTTTTTTTTATCATTTTCAAAATGAAATCTGCATTCTTAATCGTCCGATTCATCGAATCATGCCCGCTTAAAAGGGCTTCCAGACGAAGGAAATGTAGAAAACGGATCTACGTGAACTGAAACTTAGCAAAAAAGAAGGAAATAAAGAAATAGTTTCCAACTACATTAATATAGATAAAGCAAAAATGTAGGCATGCAAGTAGAGAAAGGAATTTAAGCTTTACAGAAAACTCCAATGAGAACTAAGGCTATGTTTGGTTTCAAACCAAAAACAGCCTAAATGATCGATCAAAGCATCAAGTATACTTAGATCTTGGAACAATTAGCCGTAAGAGAAGAAGATTGAAATTAGAAAGCGTAATTACGAAAGCCTAATCTTTTACCTGAAAGACAGCGGAGGATGGAGTGATCAAGGAGAAGGAAGACTGAACTCCGCCAGAAGAGTCGCTCGAGAGAGCAGCTTGAACAAGTTTTCTCTGCAACTCATAGGTTGATCCAGCCGAGGCTTCAAGGTCACCGGAAAGCTGCTTTGCGTTCCATTCGGCGCCGGAGCTTTTGCAAACGAAAGTGAAGACTCCCATTTCTCCCTTGCCGAAACTTCTGAAACGCTTTCACAAACCCTAATAACACAAATGAGTAGGGAATTGAAAATTGATTCCGTCGTCTTTTTTATAATCTAGTGCAAAACCCTAACCCTACCGGTTATAAAACACGCGGACCAATTTGTCCCCCTTGCTTTTAAAATATTACAACGGAAATCTTCGCTTTAACCAAAGGGGTGGATGCGAATTTTTTTGGGTAAATTATAAAGATACCCCTGTACTATAGGGTCTGTCATAAAGACCCCCTGTACTTTCTTTTGCGACAAAATCACCCGTACTATGATGTGAGACAAAGATCCCCTTTCATTGAAATCTACCATTGCAATATTTTTCCCCATATTATCCTTGTAATAACTATTCAGAGAAAAATACTGTTCATCTTCCTCGATCTCACGACTCTCTCTCCCCCGATCTCTCTTCTTCCCCTTCCCCTTCCCCTTTCTCTCATCCCTTTTCTTCTACCCGATATCAAGGAGAATAAACTCTGCATAATAACTATTCAGAGAAAAATACTGTTCATCTTCCTCGATCTCACGACTCTCTCTCCCCCGATCTCTCTTCTTCCCCTTCCCCTTCCCCTTTCTCTCATCCCTTTTCTTCTACCCGATATCAAGGAGAATAAACTCTGCATAAGATCACTACGAGCTAGCAGTTGTACGGTCAAAACATACAGATTTGGATGTACTTTTAGTTTTTCCACAATTGCACTCCATACGTACTCAACAATGATAGCAACCAAATAAGCAGGGTCTCCAGCAATCTCTTCCTCAACGAGAGCAAATACAGAATTGTACATTTCATAAGGTGAAATTGCCGCAGAAGGAATTTGTGACTCCACATAAGCATTAGAGTCAAATCGACCTCAGGTTCATATGTGAACAAATCCATCCCACTAGTTTTCACAATTACAACATTGCAAGTTGGACAATTTGTCCAAAAAACACCTAGTATGCTCTCAGACTCCAACCTACATCTATGAATCAGAGCCTCCCCAGTTTCTCTGTTCTTGAACTGAACCTCGTGATTTTATTGTCTTTAAGCTTTATAATTCCGAATATCTTTTGTGGAAAGACAATTTAAGCTCTATCTTGAGCAAATGCAGAAAATCCAATTCCACAATACTTCATTGGAAAAACATCCACTCCATACCCCCAGTTCATTCAAATTTCATAGAGAAATTGGAGGAGTATCTTCTTTTGTTGTAGTTCCACCTCTTCATTAGTCATTACCACACATGGAAAGATTCAGAACCAGAGTATCCTCCTATCTCCACTCTTCTCCTCCTCCTGCTCCTCACCTTCTCCTTTGTTGCTGCTTCTAACTACTCACCCATCAAAACCATCATAATCCTTGTCCTCGAGAACCGGTCCTATGATCACATGCTCGGATGGATGAATAAATCTGTCAATCCATCAAACAATGGAGTAACAGGCAAGGAATGCAACCCTGTGTCAACTAAAACCCCATAGTCCCAATCAATCTGCTTTATCGATGATGCCAAGTTTGTTGATCCGGATCCTAGACACTCATTCGAGGCTATCCAAGAACAGGTCCTTGGATCTAGCCTCATTCCTTCTATGTCAAAGATTTGTCGAACAAGCTCTGACAATGTCTTCCAATCTCTCAGACACCGTGATGAAAGGATTCAAACTTGAATCTATACCCATATACGCCTCCTTGGTGCGTGAATTCTCCGTCTTTGATTGATGGTTCTCTTTGATTCCTAGGCCAACCCAACCAAGCATGCTCTTCGTCTACTCTGCAACATCTCACGGTTCAACCAGCCATGTCAAGAAGCAAATAGCTACATGCTACCCATAGAAGACCATCTTTGACTCTCTCCATGAGAATGGATTGGACTTTGTTATTTACTTCCAAAACACCCCCACCACTCTCTTCTATAGGAATTTGGGAAAATTGAAATACATATTCAACTTCCATCAATTCGATTTAAAGTTCAAGAAGCATGCCAGAGAAGGGAAGTTGCCCAGCTTAACCGTGATCGAGCCGAGGTATTTCGATCTCAAAGGGTTACCAGCCAATGGCGACCACCCTTCTCACGATGTCGCAAATGGGTAGAAGTTAGCGAAGGAGGTTTACGAGACCTTAAGATCGAGTCCTCAATGGAACCAGACCCTTTTGGTGATTACCTATGAAGAGCACAATGGGTTCTTCGATCATGTAAACAATAGGTTAAATAGGGTTGGGAGAGAGAAATAATGAGAGAGGATGGTGAGGGAGGCCATGACAGTTCATTTCGGAGAGTTAGGAGAGAGAAAGAATGAGAGAGGACGGTGAGGGAGGGGACAAGAAGAGAAGAAAGGGAAAACAATAGGTTAAATAGGTTTTAAGAGAAAGGGGAAAAAAATAAAAAAGTTTAGGGGGGTATTTTGGTAATTTAACGCATGTTGTCATCTGATTTAACGGTCAAGGGGGGTCTTTGTTTCACGATCATAGTACAGGGGGTCTTTGTCACAAAATAAAGTACAGGGGGGTCTTTGTCACAAACCCCATAGTAAAGGGGGGTCTTTGTAGTTTATCCTTTTTTTGATAAATCTAGAAGGGGCTACACAAGATTGGGGGTCGTATGTCCCCAATAATCACTAAAACAAATAAAAAAGAGCGACCAAGGAAGGTCATTAAGGTTATAGAAGACAAACCTGTTTATTACAGAAAGAACTTCGTGAGTCAAATAATCTCCCAACTCCCAGCATCCTTGAATAATCCTTTTAAGTCTCCACGGATCAAGTTGATGTTGCAGACTTTGAATCACCAGCTTTGAGTCACCTTCGATAATAATAGTTTGATCCATGAAATTCATTGCCATGTTGTGAGCTTCCCATGTTGCCTAAGCCTCAACCAAATTGATGGTAGTAAGACCAAGGAAATAAGCTTTAAGATCCACTACCGCCCCTAAGTGATTCCTAGCTATGTAGGTTGTCGAGCACACCTCTCCACCAATAAAAGAGGCATCAAAATTAATCTTAATAGCACCAAACTCAAGGGGTGCCAAGGGATCAGATCCCACGACTTGGAGTAGCTTTCATTTTCTTTCCCCATGGTATTAATTACAAATTCTATTTGGGCCTCAATCATTCTTTTAATGACAACTTAAAGGGGGTCGATTGTTTCTATTCTTCCATAGGTGCCAAAGGATAAAAACACATTTTTCTTGGCAATTGTCTTCACTTGCTTTATCATTATAACAAATCTTGGAGCGCCAATCTTTTAGAGAGGTGTGTGTACCATTTGGTTTCTCAAGAGGAGAAAGGAATTGCCATGTTTGCTTTGTAAAATTGCAATTTTTGAAAATATGCTTCAAATCCTCCTCTTCCCCACATATGCTACAACAACCATCCACATTCATACCTCTTCTTCTTAGCATCGATTTTGATGGGAGTCTGTTATTTAGAAGAAGAAATAAAAATACTTTTAACTTTGGGGGAACTTAAAGCTTATTCGTTTGCTCTAAAGTCTGACATATAAAAGTGCAATAGTTACATTAAGAGGTATATTGGTTTTGGTGAATTTTTCTTTCCTCTTAACTCTAAATTCAGAGAATGTTGTTCTGAATTCTGAAAAATTATCAAATATCCATTTTGTCCCCATATATGAGAGTTTTTGTTTATCTTTTGAGGGGTATCATTGGAAAATAAAAAGTTGTATAATTGCACTTTAAGAGATAAGAGATAAGAGGAAATGAACAACCATTTTTCTCTTAAAGTTAAACGATTCTTCTTAAGAGATAAGAGTTAAGAGGAAACGAACATGCCCTTAATTCTCCAAACGCCTACATTCCAATTAAAGTTATCTCTTGAGCCCATCGAACCACACTTTAAATTGTGGGCAGTTTTTAATGAAAAGGTACCCTTGGAATTAGGACTCCCAAATAAGATTATCCTCTTTCGGCCCCATTGAGATAAATATTGTTTTAATCCTATTCCAAATGTTCCTTGGGGCTATGTTTTTAATTCTAATTTCATTCCATATATTGGTCCACCACATCCACAACTAGCAGATTTTCATTATCAATCATTTCTTTGTTCACCATTTCCTCTATAGGTCTATCATCCATCCATCTATCCTTCCAAAACCTTACTAATTTTCCATTTCCAATCTCCCATCTAATGCCCTTTTTAAGTAATTCCCTTGCTTTTAAGATTCCTCTCCAAGCCCATGATATTCCTTTTCTCCTTGGTGCTCCATAAATATTCTTTGGTATGATATCTACCCTTAATCACTTTAACCCATAGATTGTTTTCATCATTTAGAATTTTTCCACCCAAGTTTGGCCAAGATAGCTTCATTGACCCAACTTAAGTTCTTTAAGCTCATCCCACCCCTCTTTTTAGGGGTTCAAACACGATTCCACTTGATGAGGTGATTTTGCTTTTTGTCATTTGAATTGGTCCAAAGGAAATTTCTTTGAGATCTTTCAATATCCATTATTATGTTTTTCTGAAAGCTTGAAAGAGCGCATTTAAAATTGGGGCATTGTATTAGTCATGGAATTTATGAGGGTGAGTCTACCCACCGTAGAGAGGGTATTCTTTTTCCACTTGTTTATTTTTTTGTCAATTTTCTCCTTTAAGTCCTCGAAAGTTTTTTTTTTTTTTATACTCTCCCATTTACGATAGGATCTCCTAGATAGCAGCCCCAATTGTCTTGGATGGGAATACTTAACACACAAGCCAAAATCTTTTGGAGCCTTTTGGGAATGTTCTTTGAGAAATGCACTGTAGATTTAGCAAAATTTGAAAGTTTTTCTTTAATTTTTAGGCGAATAGGAATCTTGGGTCCCTTCTTTGAGGCTTTGCACCCAATGGGATTACCTTTCTCAGTTGATTCCTTTTCACTTTCTTTTTTTTTGCAAGAGCTTTAGCACATAACACAAAAATGTAAGGGGAGAGAGGGTCACTTGTCTAATTCCCCTAGATGGAGAGAATTCCTTAGATGAGCTCTCATTAATTATAATCTTGGGTCCCTTCATGGAATCCAAATTTTCACATATTATCATTAATTTGTCTATTTTGGGACAAAAGCGCTCTGGTATGGAGAAATAATCTTATCCAAAAAAGGTTTAACTTTG